TGAGAAAGCGGCCGATTGGCGATTCTGCATGCGCACGCGCAGTTTTGGCCCTATTGCGAGGAAGGCTATGATCATGGCGAGATTTAAGGAGAAGGCGGGGCGGTATAAGGTTGGTAGGAGTAGTGAGGATGTGTGGGAGGTTAGGAGAGTGCCAGTTGTTGCAGCTTTTAGGGGGGAAGTGAGGGAGTAGATTGGGGGGGGGGTATGATATGGACCTCACCTCACCCCATCGCCAAATGGCACGACCCGACAATTGTAGATTACCATCTCATCTCATCTCATAAAAGTGCCAATTACGCCCCCACCCCGCAAATTTCCCACTCCCAAAGAAACCTGCGGGAAACTGACATATATACCCCCTTTCCCCAGAAGATGAACTAATACGAATTTCTCTTCCCACGCACTATCAATACATAAGGAAGAAAGAAAAAAAACCACCATGTCGATTCACCGCTACTTATAAACACATGGGTACGGTAGGGGGGTAGAAAGGCTAATCTTGCCGCTTCCAACTGAATCGAATCATCAAGCCAAGCCAAGCCACCATCCATCCATCCTTCGTGAGTTTCTACTACGAACAATCTATTCCACTCCACACACTGCCACCCTCCCAGCACAATGAAAGAAGCAAGATAAAAATAAATAAATATCCCAACCACCCCAACCAACCCAAACCCATGAAACAAATAAACAAACCAAGGCCCGAAAAGAATACGAAAAAGAATGAATGAGAAGCGTTCATCTCATTGAACCACAGTTGTCACACAAACGGGGATTCTCTGAAGAACAAGCTTTTTAAAAGAGTCCTAGTATATAATACCAGGAGTAAGAAGTAAAAAGTAAAAATAATAATACATGAAACATAGGAAGGAAGGAGGCAGGTGGCAAAAGGATGGTAATGCAATATAATGCAATGAGTGACAGAAGAATTTCAGCCCCAAGTGCCTGTTTTGGTGTTCTACCGAACTAGCGGGACAGGGTAGGTAGGTAGCGGGGTGAGTGTAAAAGGAAACACTCAATCAAGGCAGACAGGTGTGGGGGGGGGTAACGTAATGGGACCAACATTGGAATCATATGGCGCATGCAAGCCCTCTTGTGCGAACGATAGAAAATGACAGAAAGACAAAACATTCCCTTTTGCACCACTCACTGCTTCTCAATCGAGTTCGAGTCGTCGAATGGACTAACCGTTCTCTGCGATGACACAACCATGGCATCGAGGGTCCTCGACTGGCGCTGAGCCAAGCTTTGAGATAGTCGTCGGGTATTACCAGCTAGTGGCTGCCCAGAGTTGGATGGGCCAGGTATGTCATCTACTGCCAACGAATTGGTGTCGGAGAAGGGTGAGCTGGTGTCCATGTCAGTGATACAGCTGCTGCACGCTGATTGAGGACGCTTGATCCGCTGGCCTGGCTTGATATCGTCATCCGAATCATCCGAGTCGTATATGAACGATGCTGTGCTGTGATTCTCGCCAATAGCCCCTTTTGGTAGGTCGGTATTCAATTTCTTTGCGCTGTTCATCCTGTTCAAAAAGGTCGATCCAACAGAGAAGGCTGGACTCGGTGGTACTTTTTCCAATGTAGATTGTCTTCCCTTGCCCTTGACATTCAGGTACAAAGCCGGCACAGGTGGAATGGTAGACGATGGTGAACTGGCGATAGATGTAGCAAGACTGCTTCCTCCCTTGACCGTAACCACGGCAGCCTTTCCAGCGCGAATAATATTAGGCTGAGACACGACAGCATTCTGGCCATAGATTGTCGTGGCGACGGATGACCTATTATCATTGACGGTGTACATGGAACCACGTAATATATCGTCGGCAGAAAATTGCAAGTCGCCAGCCAGTGGAGATCGGGGATATTGTGATGTTGTTGGTGAGCCCATCATTGGAAGAGGCGGAATAGGTGGAACCAGGTGGGATGGTGTAGAGGGTCCTGAGCGATTAGTGACACCGGGAATGTAGGCGATCTGGATGACGTTTGATGCACGGGTACGAACGGTGGATGCGATCGAAGCAACGGTATGGGTTGAAGCCTGAATAATCGTAAGAAGATGGTATATAAAAAGCAGACATCACGTGGGCTTACCCTCGCGCTCTTTAACATTCCGAAATCGTTCTCCTTTTCCGCAGCTGTTGCGGCCATCGAAATCCTTTCCTGATTCTTCTTCTTCTTGATAAACGTCCTGTAGAGCAAGAACCCAATAATACCCGCCGCTGCCAACCCCCCGAACACCCCCCCTACGATTGGCCCAACAGATGGTGAAGACGAACCACCGTCGTCGTCGCTGTCGCCGCCGCCACTCTGAATGTTGGCACAGGTGGCCTTTGGACAAGCATCGCACGTCTGAACGCTTAGAGCGCAGTACTGATTCGGAGCACATCCACCGCACGGAGGAACCAGACAGTCCTTGACGCAGTTGGGGTTTTGTCGTGCGAAGAGATCGTGACCTGGGCCTATATTCGAAAACAATCAGTTAAAAAAGCTCATGACATCATACAGCTCCAAACAATATATATATAAAGTAAAGTAGCAGCTCACCTGGAACATAAGCTGCGGATGCAGTGAGTGATTGAAGTAAAAGTAGTAGGACGAGCGGCAACATGGAGAGGAGCGAGCGCGGCAAAGTCATGACTGGTCAAGAATGTCGTTGGGCTTCCGAGTCTCTGTTCGGGCAGGAATGATTAAAAATGGGGGAACGGTAAAAAGAGAAGCCAAAACAGGAGAAAAAAGAGAGCGGCCGCAGATTCAAGATCTACTAAAATGAATGTGGGGCTATGAAGGGGGGAGCGGGAGGGAGGGAGGAAGGAAAAGGAAGGGGAAAGGGAAAGGAAACGAAGGAACCCGTCCGACGGCGAGGAAGAAAGTAATCAATGAAAGAGCGTGAGATGACTGGACCAGTCAGGTGGAGAAGAGGGGGGTGGGGGGGTAGGATGAGCGAAGGAGTGTACTGGTGATGGAGGTGGGCGGGTTTATGGTTGATGGGGCGGGAAAGGGAAGGAAAGAGAAAGAGAGAGAGAGGGAAACAAAGGAAAGGAGTTTAGGAAATGGCGAAGATGTGTGTGTGTGCGGGATTGAGTGCGGTAGAGAAGGGATACCCGTTGGTTGGGCCAGGGGTGAGGAAGAGCAAACGTGTGCATGCGAAAGTGGAATAAAATGAAATTAGAGTGACTGAAGCGAGCGAGTAAAACCGACCTTTTTTGGCTCGCAGGAAGATCTTTGGGTGGTTTCTCTGCCTGGAAACTAGTCCTCCCTGAGCGACCCCCGTTTCCGAGGGATGGAGAGAGAGAGATAAGCTAGACCGTGTCGAACCGGACAATGGAATAGGAATGAAAGAATGAAAGAAAAAGACTTTCAAGTTGAATCACGGTAATTTAGTATCGAGAACTCATGAAATCCTTCTTTATTATTCCCCTCCCTTTTTCCCCTTTGCGTGATTCGCCCCTTTCGTAAAAAAAATGGCGGGCCAACTAGGAACAACAAATGAAAGTCATAAATAACCGTTAACTTATAGGGGTGGGTGAGGAAAAATAGTGAGCGAGCGAGCGACCGAATGAACGGAGGAGGGTGGGGAGGTGAGAGAGTGTGAAAAGAGAAGTGAGAGGGAAAGGAAAGGGAAGGAGTGACAACTTACGGTGGATAAACCAAATACCGGTACCAGTACCGGCAGTCGAAGGGAAAATTATAAAAAATAAAAATAAAAAAAGACTGGTCAGAAGGGCGAGGAAGCTTTAACACAGCAGCAGCAGCAGCCAGGAAGAAAGAAGGTGGATGATGGCTGAAGTGGTACCAGGTGGATTGACCATTAGATACGAGTAGGATGGCACAAAATAACATCCTCCCTCCACCCCCCCCCCCATATGATTATCACCTCCCATACAATTTGCGATGGCTTTCTGGACAAGTCAATGCGCACAATCTTCTGCATGCCAGGCACCGTTGAATCGTAGCCTATCATTCAATTATTCACTTTCCAGAGGTAATAAATAACCACGGGTACCCTACTGTATCTCCAACATCACCCCTCCCCACCAATAATAATGTGCCCTCCCCTTCCCCTCCATACTATCGCACAAAATATCATACAATGGCCCATACCGGTATGATACCGTACTGTATCGTTTACTCGTACGGTGCTCGCCGTCCACTACTGTATTGCTGCTGCAACATCGTTCTCAGAGTCCGGGTTGGGCTTGCTCACGGGAGATGAGACGGAGGTGCCTGGTCCCACACGGAAAATGTTCCACACAAGGGGTTGTTGTGTGTGCTTACCCAGGAGTTGGCGGGTGGATGGTGCTTCCTTGCCTGCTTCCTGTCAAAAAGGTGCAACAAGGTACCGGTACGGTGCCCCGAGAAGAGGGATAAATCCCGCCCAATTTACCCGCCTTGTCAACAAACAATAAGCATTCAGCATTCATTATGATACTGCCCTTCTCCCATCCCACCGACTACGAGTACTGTAGACCTTCTCTCTCTCTCTCTCTCTCTCTGCAGCCGCATTCCAGCTACCGGTATTGCAAAGACTAGCGGTAGCTGATGCACTTTTTAGTCAATTAACCTGAACTACGCTACACACAGGCACAAGTCCAATAACAGTCTAACAGTTGCCCAAGTCTAACCCTGACAAAGCACCCGAGCACCCGAGTACTTGGCAGTAAGCTGTGATATGAGTACTACTTTCGTGCCTTTCCACCTCGAGTTAAGCAAGTTGACTGAGTTGGATTTGAGGGGTGCCACCTCTTCCCTCGTCTGTTCTTGAAAGTACGATACGAGTACTCGTAGTCTACTTGTATTCACACAACACCATTTCCGTATGATCCTTTCCTTGTACCTGGATAACATCCACCAACCACATCGCTTCGCACCCTATCATTACCGATTTCTCGCCCCTCCATCCATCCAGCAGTCTTCCCGATCAGTCGATTTGAACTCCTTTCCCTCCAAATAATCACCCACCTATGATACCTGCTACATCCTATAATACCTACATACAGAACTTACGGCCTTACTCGGCTGCGCAGCAGCACACCAAAACCACGCATTAACTATCAATCAATCAATCAATCAATCAACCGATAAATTACCGGTACCCACAATCGCTCACTCACCCGCCCACTCGCTCCCATCCAGAGCTTTTTATTTTTATAACAAGAATGATTGGACCGTTCCGTTCGGGCTGAACAAAAACTTGCAGTATGATATTTGCTTTACCGGGGAATGGTGGATATCCAGCAGTACAAGTAGGTGTTATGTAAAAACACGAGCACACTCCTATCATCCACCCGTCCATCCGTCCATCCTCAAGCCATAGTGTACTCGTACTTATCAGCGGCATCAAACCGCGAAAAACGGCCCCCTTCACGGGCCGAAGCTGACAGAACTATCCGAGTCAGAGCCAAAAGCGTGAAAAGCTTAGCAAAGGAGAGGAGACCATGGTAGGGAACACTAAAGTACCGCTTGTAAAAGAGCATATACAGGCACCCGTACAGCACAAACCAACTACCGGCGCCCTGCTCCACCATGGAAAAGAAAAGGGAGCCCCCCCCCCCCACAAGATCGAAGGACTGCGACATCGCATGAAGACCGAAATGATGGGGTTGCAGGGATAAGCTGGATACATACAAACAGGTACTTGTGCTTGTATCGCCGTGTCCACAGAGCTAGCCTCTCTCTTTCTACTGTATTGCTCAGCAAGAAACAAGTTGTGACAAGTGTTTATAATGCCCCTAGAGACATATCCGAAAACAGCCATCTAGAAGGATCCTGTTCCGCTGCTGTTGATCGGTGTTTTTGGGGCAAGGAAGGGCACGAGAACTTTAGGGATGCGGCGGCACAGTGCAAGTAGGATAGTATCATAGACAAGTCGGTTAAAACGCTCCCCCGAGTATGGGTATTATATGATGATATCAGGAAATATTCACCCGCACTTCTTTAATAGTAATAATAATAATAATTATTAAATTCCGTTCCTGTCCCTGAAAATTACCCTTAGCCCTTCCCATTCATTTCGCCCTACGGTACCGTATCTGCTTGTCTCCTCCAGCTATCTATCATAGCTGAACAAGCGAGCACAGTACGTACCGTATGGGTTCATACATTGCCCATTGCAGGTTGCAGATGCATGTCTCAGCGCAGATATGGTACGGGATGAAAGGTTTGCGGTGGGGTATGGTCAGGTACGGTGCAAGCACAATATGATACCGGGAGATTTGTTGCTCGTGGTATGTGCGCAGGTGAACGGAGGAGAACATGGAAGATGATGGCTCTGGCTTGTGTTTCCATGATAGTGATGCGTCCATTGCCAAAATGTTCCCCAAGTGACACTCAATCAGTACCATACTCGTGCGTCTCAGCCAAGATTTGGCACCCCATTTGTCCTAGTAGGTGGCGCAAGTTCTTTTCCACAAAAGAGGTATGGTTTCTCAATAGTGTGCAACTGGTATAAGGATATAACTATTAGAAGAATGATACTGTAACATGCAGTGCAAGCTGCCTGGACAAATTATGCATTAAATCTATCATCTCCTCCCCATGCCTGAACCTGCAAGAGATTAGTGTGAAAATTCATACAAAAGCAATCAACTAACTCCTGAGGCATGCAATCCCACTCATATCTAAGTGTATTTACCACCTCTTGTTTTGTCCTTTCACTAGTACCAGTAAAGCCATATTCTATCATCCTATCTTTTAGATAGTTTCAACAAGGTTCCATCTCATTTAAGTCTGGTGAGTTCAGAGGCCACTTGTCACGAACGTGGCTTAGTGAGGAAAGGGTTTTCACGTGACACATGGTTATGAGTCACAGGTATGTTATTGTTTCACGCATATGACCTATTCAGGTTATATGATTTGTTATGTGTGGGATTTGTGATACTTTCGCACATGGCTCAAGTATGAGTCATGGGACATGTGCCTGACGAGTAGGCCTTACGAGTGTGCCTTACGGGTAAGCCTTACGCATATGATTTATGTTTCGCACATGACCTCATTATGATGTCATGGGTTTCGTGCATATGACTCAGTCGAGTCATATGACTTGTTTATTATGTTATGATTGGTTTATGAGTTTTTGCACATGACCTCGCTACGAGGTCATGGGTTTTGCGCATGTGATCACTTTGGTCATATGACTAGTTTGTTATGATTTAGTTTCACACATGTGACCACTTTAGGTCACATGACTAAAGGCGGGAAGAACACTATATAAGGAGGCTGATGCGACAGAGGAAGATAGGTTCTTCACGCTTTGTTCTAAGTACTTTTCCTACTTATTACTTTAACGAATATAAAATACCTTTACAATCTTTATCTTTATTGCGACGTTATCGTTACGCCAAAGAAGGCGCTTTACGAAGAAGAGTTAGAGAAAGCTTACGATAGGCGTTCCCGGTAAAATACAAGGGTCTTGTTCTATCGGTAACGTAGGCAGAGGCCTAGAGCTATCGTAAGACAAAGAGAAGAAGAAGACAGGAAGAGAAGTATCGTTCCCCATCGTCAAGCATTAACTATCCAGAGAGGGATCGTTACATTACAAAGTGTCACCTAGTGCGACGCCAAACAATACAAGACGGCATCCTTCAACCCAGACAGGGAAGGAGATATTGACATTGACGATCAAAATCTTAATCTAGGAGGATTCAGCGACGCCCTAGATCACGTCTCAGCAGAACCCTCAAGAGCAGCAAGCCCAGTAACCCCAGAGAAAGGATTACCAGTCGATAGCTCTCCTGCTGGAACTCCACGACCCGAGAGAATGTCAGGATCCGCAGTACCTGGGCCACCGGCCTCAGGAACCAGCATACTGGGAATGACTGAAAATCAGTTTCAGGCATTTCTTGTAGCCACGCGAAATACAGAGCAAGGAAATGTCCAACGACCAAAAGCAAAGAAGCCCGACACATACGAAGGAGCCGAAGATAAGCTACAAATATTCTTAGTGTAATGCGAGGAATATTTTGCCGTTAAGGGATACGGAGATCACCATGATGAAATTAAGATTCCATATGTGGAATCTCTACTCAGAGGACTCGCGGAGCAATGGATCATGCCCTTCCAAGATGGATGGAAGCAGAGGGAATGGGTCACATACAAAGAGTTCAACGCGACACTCTTTGAACAATTTGGAGATCCCAACGCCAAGGAAACAGCAAGATAAAAGCTAGAAAAACTCCAGTAAGGAAAACAAACGTTCTCAGCATATTGGAACGAATGTCGACTGTTGGAATACGAGGCCGAGTTTGATGATGCGACTCTCTACATCATTCTCCTGAGAAACTGCAGTGAGAGACTCCAAGAGGCATGGGGACTCTCTGACCTGCACTATACGACAGCCGAACGATTTGCAAGATGGGCAATCGACAAAGAAAGCAAATTAAACATGGTTCGGAGCAACTCGGAAAATACTATAGCACATAGAGTGGTCCAATCATCCAGGAATGTGGACAGGACCTTCAAACCGCAAGCACCACAAGGAGAAAGTCGAGCATTACCACTAGGCGAACCAATGGAATTAGACAAGTCAAGAGTAGGGCCTGCTCTGAATCTGTCTAAGGAAGAATA